CTTCTGCTAGTGGGAAGTATTTGTGGGGGGGAAAAAAAGGAAAAAACCCTAAACAACCCCAGTCAAAAAAAAACCCCAAACCCCTGGCATAATGCTCATTTTCAGCAATATACTGAACTGTCAGTCAGTCAAAACTCTCTCAGTACTTTTTAGAAAAAAGTGAGCATCTCATCTGCATTAATTTAATTCCACTTACTTGACCTAGAACACGAAGCTTCAGGACCTCAAGAGGCCTCCATAATATGGTTGTAAAGAAATATGACTTTTCAAATTTGGAAGTTCATTATTCTAGAATGTTTTACAACCCATTACTCCTAAAAGTCTATTATGCATGTTTCTTCCAGCAGCTTTTATAAGGACTTTCAATATATTCTCTGTAGAAAACTCTTACAAGAAAAAGCAAGAAGATACACAAAATTCTTGCGGCCTTGTTATAAGCTGTCATATTGGCAACCGCTATTTTCACTAATGACACTTCAAGACATATTTCAAAATTACTTAAGAGAGCTATAGGGATTACAACCCTTGTTGCAGTGTTAAATGTTGGCTCTTCTAGGCTTTTGATAATCCTAGGACTCCTTCTCTTTTTTCACTTGGTGTATGGTTTGTGACACTTCAGTAACTCAGGTTAGGTATAGTCAAACCAGAGTATTCCAAAAGCCATTGTGAAAGGTGACCAGCATTTCAGCATCACATTTGAGAATGAAACAAGGGCACTGAATTCATCCTTTTTTGCCTGCCATTCTCCACTGTTGCAAAGTGCTAACAAACATGTCACACAATTCATCAACTGCTTGAGCTGAACTTCACATGTGCCTTCAAAACCCCCTCTGAGAACTGTGAGTCTGCTGCCCAGCCACCCCAGTGCAGAGGACCTGAGCAGTCCTAGAGACCTTTCTGTAGCTACTCAACTTGACCACGTCAGTCTGAATTGGAGCTTTGCAGGAGTCGCTCTCAGAGATTTTTTTCTTCTCAACTTTACCTTAAAATGAAATGTATAAGATACTGATGTGGCCTAAATATTTTTAAAAATATTGGTTTTCTATGAGGAAATGGAGAAGCAGAATTGGGAAAGGGGGACTGAGAAAGATTTGGGGAAGAAGAGAGTTTGCTACGATCAGAGGGATGAAGAGAATGGAGGTGAGGACCAGTGCAAGGATAGAAACAGGTAATGTGGTAGAAAGAATCTGAGATGGCTACAGTGATATTGGCTACAATGATATGGCTTGAGTAATATTGATCTGGCATGATGACATTTAAAATACAGAAAGAAGGCAAATTTCATACCATGCTGCAATGAAGCCATTTTAAGGTAAAACAAAAGAAAAATCATAAGTCAGCCTGCAAAGCCTACATTTTTATCCTCTGTCTCCAGGCATTACAAAAAGAAGGAAACTGAGATCCAGCGATCAGATTAATGATGTCTCCCAAAATTCAAGAAAGTATCAGTTTCCATAAACAATATAATTAATATGCTAGAAGGTGTATTTAAAAAAATAAGAAAAGAATGTTTTATACCTCTCTTTTCCCCCCTGCACAACCCCAGCCCTCCATTTTCCCTCTTTTATGAATAGCAAACACTCCTTTGGAGCATCAAAAGTGTATTCTCGTCTCCTGTCAAGTAATCTGAACCCTGAAGTGATCCTGAATGTCTGGATAACTCCTCTCTTCCGGTGCCCCATGTTTCCCAGTGCAGACAAGCTGCTTGGAAGATCTCTCTCTTTGGAGGGGTCATTAATCCAAGGTGCTTAAACATTGGAATCACAAAATTAAAATCTCTTAAGCCTCAGAAGGACAAAATTAAGGCTCAGATCATGCATCCTCATGGTGGAAAGCTGACTACAGTAAGAAAACAGTATGGTTTGTGTGGGACTGGCCAGGGAGGATGTGGAGCCTGCCTAAGGCAGCCTGACAGAAAGGAAAGGCAACCTGGACCTGGGTGACATGGACGGTGGGGGCACAAGGCTGGTGCAAATACAGAGTGTGCTGCACAGTGAGCCATGTGTGTGACCCCCACCTGTGACACACACACTGCTGCCACAGTTCACATGTGCCCCCACTGTCTGACAGGCTCCATGGGGCAAGAAGGGAACTATCGTACAGTAGTGTAGGCACAGCATCTTCTGTGATACTGCACAGCAAAGCTGACTGCAGTTAGGAATGGCCTGCCTACTTTTTCCCCCACACAGTCCAAATATTTTTAAATGGGATCATGAGATCCACTCCCACAAGACAGAAATCATGACAGGTGCTTGGAAACCACATATATTATTTTTCAGCTAGCCTCAATAACAACAAATGTAAAACCAATCATTAAGATGCTATGAAGAAATACACTGCTAATAAAAATTTTGCAAGAAGTTCAATAGCACAAAGGTTTACTAGAGCAGGATAGAGGGAGTTTCATGGTATTTGTCCCTCTTCTAGAATGTGAAGTTCAGGAAAATGGAAAAAATTAAAATAAATCTAATGACAACAAAACTTGCAAAATGGAATACCAAGTGGTCACACAGCCTCTGTTTTACCTTAGTTAGGGAGTAGCTATCCCTAGACACACATTTGTACCTTGTATTCAATGTGTTGTGAACATCAGCCATCCCCATCCTTTCTGTAATCAAATCAAAAGCTGGGAGGAAACCCACCCGACTACTACATTTGTTAACGTTTTCACTCACACATGTCACCAGCTTCTGCAGTTTCATCATCCATCCTTAAACCCACACATCACGTTATCTCCCACTGAACTGCCAGCAAGCCCATCACAAGGCCATGGCTTCATCCTTACACTGAAACTCTGCAGAGCAGCAAGGAGACCAATGCCACGCCAGGCATCCATCAGCTGATCTCATCGACTCAGACACAGATGGCAAAATAGAGGGGATCCCTATCTGCATTTAATACCAGGAAGTATATCATCCTTTTTGGTTACTGCCAGCTCTCAGAAAAAAGTGATTACAGATTTTGAGAGTCGGCAGCTCCATTTTCTAGATCTTAAACATTTGAAGCTACTGCATTTATCTTTTAATTTTACTTCCTTCCCAACTCAACGTAGTATTATAGCACTCAAAGCCTACACAATAGACTTGCTGTTTTATCAATATTTTAAATTCCATCTTTGAAGAGTCTGTCTCATATAAAGCACAACAGTAAATGGAAAATGAACAAAATGATTTAACATAACACAGCTCTAAAATGTATGTGCTTTATCTTTAATGCTGTCACCTTTTTTTATGTACAGACTGTAGCATGTTGAGGGTGGGAGAGCATCAAGGGAGTGGAAAGTTAGATCCTACTACTCAAATACCAGATTCAGTATTTGGATATAAACCAACTCCTTCTGAGGCTGTGACTGCTAGATGTGCTAAATCTCATGCTGATTCTCAGCAGATCAGACTATTTTTTTTAACTTCTTGGTAGAAAGCAAAAAAATCTTTAACAACATGTGAAGTTAGAAAGTAGGAATACACAGCCTGACAATTTTTCTAGAGGAAGGAAAAAACGACGGTACCATTGTTTTCACCTGCCAATGTTTTCAGAGACAAAATGTGCTTTTGTGTTTGTACTTCTGTTGCTCCTATAGGAGCAGAACATGACAAAACTGAATACCAGGAGGGGATGCATCCATGCATGCGTGACAGAAAGTAGAACGCTGAAAAATTCAAAGCTTGGGTAGTACTTAATTAAAGCTATCAGTTCTGTTTTGGTCTCCTTCTGTGGCCTTAGCAGAAGAAGCTTATCTGATCAACTATGTACAAAATGCAAAAAAGCACTTGGATCAGGAAACCTGTGATTAGAACAAGTATGAAGCAAATACATCTTATATTCTATATTCATGTATATTTAAAATTGCCAGATTGAAATGAGTCCTTTTCTATAACATTACATTTGCCTCATCTCCATTTCCTGCTGATGACAAAAACCATGACAGCAATCGTAGAACTCAGTCTGAAATTAAGTAGTTCACTGTACAGGAACAAACTTATGGTACTAATTTCCAACAGCTAGAACATAAAATGTCAAAAAATGTCAAAACTGAATGAACTCTGTAAGGAAATACTGGCACAATTTAGATGACAGAGAAGGTTAATAAAATACAAGACACTGAAAATGTATATGATACATAGAAATCAGATCAAGAATCAGAGAAAAACATCACTTTGCATTTTATGTTTCTTTTGACAACTTTAAAACCAGTCACAGATAATTCTCTTCCTGAAATTTCCTGCTTTGAATTTCTCTATTCAGAAAAAATTAATATACATACTTAAAATATATAAAGATGGACTTAACATAAGGCACAATTCAATCCCAAATCTGATTACTAGAGAACATCATCAAGTTAATTACCCATAAGATATATGAATCACATGGTAAATTCTAGAGATATTTGCTTAAATTTTCAGAAGTCACTAAATGATCTTGTTAAATGTGTGTGTTGTGGTTTCCATGCTACTTCTGGCATTTTCAGTCACTACCTTTTTTAAGAACCATGCCAGTTTAGGTCCAGCACTTCTCCAGAAACTCTTTCCTACTTTGGACATTTTAAATGTCTTTTCAGAGATACTTTTTGTCTAGCATGGCACAGTGTAAAGTGGAATTAAACTTGGGTGATTCACAGAAACCCACACTCAAGAAGTGCACCCCAAGCAGACCGATGTAATCCCTGAAGTCTCAGGAAATTCAGCTTGAATCACATTTGAATACAGTCATATGTTCAAATATGAAAAGGTAAGGTACATGTGCTCTAGTAAGACATTTGCATGTGAATGGATGCAGAAGTCTGCATCATCCCACCAGACAAAACCAGAGGGAGATACAACGCCCACAGCAGCCTTCACTCCCTCCCTACAGTAAATGCACCCCAAAAGTAAGATCAGTTCTGATCCTGTGTAGATCTGGTGTAAGACCATGATAATACTGAAATCACCCTTTCCTGGTAAGGCAATAATAAAAGCACCAAAGTCAGATATCACATATCATTTGTTATGAAGGACTCCTACCTTTTCAGCTTCATATAATTTTCACTAGCTGCAGGTCTGCATTCAGCGCGTTGCACCACTATTCCTTCCAAGGCAAGTTTATCTAGAATGAAAAGAAAATGAAGTAAAACTGGACATGAAAATAAGATCCACCAAGATGGTCAGCATTTGAATTATTTTTCACTAATTAAGAATTTACAAAATATAACATAATTCTAAGTTCTCAAATGAGGCTCTAAAATCTCTGCTATTCAGACACCAAAGAAATAAGCAGTAAATGTTTGCACAGCTGGTATACCCTAGACTTCCTTGTTTTGCCTTCAGATGTTTTACATATTAAGAATGAATCACAGAGATCAAATTTTAAATAAGAGATTGTAACTCCTTTCTCTAGATGTTGCACTCAGAGTATTATCTAGGAACTTTTTTGTAAATGGGCAATTAATACAATCAGTGATTGTGAAAAAAATAAACTACAAAGAGAATCCAATAATAAAAGTACCAAAAATTAGTGGAAGATAAAGCAAAAGCTAATTTTATTCTTATACTCAGGAAAACAGTACCACATTTTCCTCTTGTTACAATTTTTTTTAAAAGTATATTGAAGGAACACAATGCAAAAAAAGTAATAATACAAGAGGATGGTAACAGTCAGGGAAAAGAAGCAAAAGCTTTCAGTCAGTAATCTAGGACACCACATACATGTATTTAGGTAATACTCCTCTCTGTACATTCACCACAAAGTCATTTTGCTACCCCACATGACCATCTTTTGCCTAAAGCAACGATGACTAACAGAGCAGTACCAGCCTACACCATAAAGGTAGGTAAATCCCAAAATTAAAAGCAACTTAATGCAGAAATGAAGAGAGAAGTGATGGTGGGCAAATTTCTTCACTTCTACTATGATGTTCTAGTGCATGATGTGTGGATGTGGGAGGAGGGCATGTCAATTAATCCGTCTGTTTTGGGCATAGCCAGCACAATTTGTGTTAAACAAACACCTCTGGAACAGCCTTGCATTACAAGAAAGGATGAGTTTTAAAGGCTTGACTAGCTCTCAGTATTAAAATGTCCTTCCAAGAGCACTACACTGTCATTGCCACCTTCTGCTAGCAATGTCACAGAAGGTGACAGAAACACTTAGAAATACTGATGTCCAAGTAACACAAGGCACACTGAGACACCTCTGGATTTCCTATCACCTTATAGACTGAAATATTACTACATCCACACATCTAAGTCTGCTCTCCCTGAATAATGCCAGAAACTATGACTTAGACATCATGAAGTTTTAAATTATTTAATCTAAAATTTATTGGATTGTTTCAAACTAAATCTTTGAAACCAGTAAGAAAGCCATATTTTTTTCAGATAGGTTTGAATGAAATAGAAGAAAATTTGTTTTTAAACACATGTGATTTTGTAGATTCCCAGCTTAATGATCAAAAGACAGAACTTGGAAGATTTGCCTGACTTCCTATGTATCACAGACAGAAAAATTGTATGGTTTTTCTTCTTTACAGAACCTAGTAACTTATTTGTGGCTTAAATGGTACTAATATTGCTGCTTAATTTCTAATAAGAATTTGGCTTCAGCTTCTAGCAGTTGGTTCTTCTCATGACTTTCTATACTATGGTAAAGAGTCTTTCAGTACCTACTGTTTTCTCCCTTTGAAAGTACTTACAAATCATTATCAACCTGCTTCTCAATCACCTTTTCAATAAATGAACCAATTTAAGCTCATGCATTATCCCATTACAAGACATTTTTGCCAGGCTTAAATCAGTCTGGGATTTCTTATTTGCACCTTTTCAATCTCGAAATGATGCTTTAAGACAACAGAGACCAGAAACCAGACGTAATACTACTGAACTGATTTTATGAAAATCATACATGGAAAGTAAAATAACAGACACAGGAGCTGGAATTTCTCTCACCTCACTTGAGCCATCTGAATGTTATTCAGAATCTATGAATTCAGCAGAGAGGGAGGAAGAGAGACTGTCAGGGGAAAAAATGGTCCCATCTCTTTTAGAATTAAATTATTTCCCAGTGGTTTTTTTTGGTAGGTGTTTTTGGAGGAGGGTGCACACGGTGTCTGTGTCCCATGACTGCTTTATGCTTAGATGGCTAAATGAGTTAAGATCATTTGTCTCTAAAAACCAAGTTCTGGGGGTATGGTTATTATATTACTAACTGGCTATTATATTACTAACACAACTATTCTGCGTCTTTTCTAAGCCTCGCATTTTATCTATGGGCTCTGCATTGCCTAGGTGTATAATTGCCTTTGGTTTGGTGAAAACACATTGTCTTTAAAACAGATTCTGTGAATTAAGCAATCCCAGTCACACTATGACAGTCCTGTCATAGTTACTCACTGGCTGACCTGCATTTGTGTCAATCACAACACATTTTATAAGCAGTGATTCTCACCACTGTTGTCCTGGAGTAAGCCCTTCAAACTACAACTCAAGAGGCTTCCTACTCATAATTCCTTTCTGATAATTGTCAGATAGTTTTTAATCTTGTTCTGTGCTTGTTTTAGTTTATTTTTTAATATAAATCAGAATGTCACAAGGATCTAGACTATGTGCAATAGGAAATGCTAGGCAGGCTGCAAATGTGCTGATACTTTAAAACGCATAATCTTCAAAACAAATAAAATTAGGTTTATTGGACCAGAAAACTTTACATAAAGCCATGTTTGCTAGCATTCATTACATTTCCAATCTTAGATACCTCTTGAACACCATAACAATTTTTCTGCTCTCTTCTATGGTACAGGTTTCAAGGCTAGTTAACCTATATTCATCTGAACCATCTAACCCAGCTGCCTGAACATTGACATGTCACTATCAATCTCCCTGCACCTTGCACAATTTTCACATGATTTTAAAGTTTCAAGGATCAGGATCAGTAAAGCAGAGACTTCCTACCCACTAACTATTTAGAAAATGAATGTGCCAAATAAACATGTTTATCCTTAATATGACCACAGAATCACATAATAGTTTGGGTTAGAGAGAGCCTTAAAAATCACTCAGTTCCAACCCCCCTGTCATGGCCAGGAATACCTTCCACTAGACCAGGTCGCACAAAGCCCCATCCAAACTGTCCTTTAACACTGTCAGGGCTAGGGAATCACAACTTCTCTGGTATCTCGTCTTTGATGTCTTGGCCAATACCCTCTTTTCATTACCACTGATCCAGATTTGACTTTAGCTGTCAAATCCAGACAAAATGTTCCAATCACTTAATGTACAAGGCTGTCTCCCAAACACCACCTTGCAGCTAAGGTTGTCTGCTGTCTAAGACTATCCACTGTCCAAACACCAAGACTTATGTCCCACTTTCCTTGGACCCTCTTTGGAATTTTAACACAACCTTTGAGTCTAGCAGAATACACAAAGATACAGGCAAACCTCCAGGGAACACAGTTTTTATTCCCTTTGTAGCCTACTTAGACCTCATGCACCAAACTCAAATTCAGAGACTTGGGTCTGTCTTTAACTGTTGCAGGACGAAAGATGCAATGAAAAGATATCCAAAACGCTGCACATCTGCCTTGACATTTCCATAGTCACATCAGCTTAGGAGGTGATGGATGAATAAGGCATGGAACTGGTAGCTTCCTGTTAAAAACACCTACTCAAAGTAGATAGTATAAAGTAAATAAATAGGTCTGAAAGACTAGCTGAGATCAGTGATGAGAAGGGAAAATAAGACATTTTCCCAAGAGTCTCACACTCTCAAATGCCCAACATGTGTTGGCAGGTACAAAGTACCCTCATAGTGCAGCTCCAGACAGGCTCCTTCACAGAACCCATACGTTCATCATTAGCTGCCAAATGCATGCTCACCCTGACCTCCCTGCCTGAATGCCCCAGTGCCAATTCATAAAGTAATTTCAACTATTGTCTCAGTGAGATGATAGATATGCTGGGAGAGACAGATTCCAGCTTGGAATCCTGCTGACAATCATTTTCAAAGAACAGAATATGACAGAAACACTTAAGCCAATGTTAATAAACAGGCAGGAGAAATTTACTGGAATTGTGCAGTAGATGGTCTGATAGGGGTTGGCTTGTTGCAGTTTTTAGAGAGAGAGAGATGGACTGATTTGGAGATTTTAATGTATCAATCTTCTAGTCTGAGTGCACACAGCTTCTATTTCCAGCCACTGTCTTATTGGACCATTGACTGCTGAGTCGAAGGGCCTGCTAGGAAAGCATTTCTGCCCATCCAAGCACTTACACAGTCTTCACCTTTATCAAGCCTAATAGAAATAAATCATGTTTTCTTGAACCTTCCATAATGCCAATTCTTCAGCTTCTTAATCATTCTTATTAGCCTGAGAAAGGCCAGTTCATGTATGTCTTTCCTGAGATATTGTCTCTCACAGCCAGACTTGACAGCACGTGAGTCAGGTTCTGGAGCTTACCAACTCCTCTGCCTTGTGAGTGGTGCCAAGGAAAAAAGAAGACCACACTCAGGATGCATGGTTCTCAGGCAGCAGGACAAAGGAGATGAGAGTGCAGGAAGGGCAGGCTGTGGGCAGAGTGCCTCCAGCTCCTCAGCTGTTAGAAGATGGGCTGCTGTTTCCCATTGTCATGGTTTAACTCCAGCCAGCAAACAAGCTCCATGCAGCCACGCACTGCCCCACCAGCAGGATCAGGGAGAGAATCAGAAGGGTAAAAGCTGGAAAACTCAAGGGCTGAGATAAAGACAGGGATGTATCACATATAACAGTTACTTGGGAAGACAAATGCCATCATGTGGTATATATTCTACTATTAAATGACAAATGAAACATACTGAAGGATTTATTAGAAAAAAGTATCACCTGCTTTGATGAACAAATTCTAATTTTAAAAAAATGGGCAAAAAATTGGCACCACCCATTTTCTCTCCACACATTGATTAGCATTATATTACTCTCCCTTAATTTTTAACTGATGTTTAACTGATTGATTTCGAAATGAGATATTTTATCATTCTTCACACAGTATCTTTTCATATTTAAATACCTGTCTCATCTAATTAATCTTTCAGATATTGGCACAGCATTTGCTTTTCCAGTCTTTTAGAATTGCAGTGCTCAAAAATTATTAAAAATATCAACAGCAACTTTGACAGTTTCTTAGACAGCCCTTTAGAAACTCTTGAATGCAAATTATTAAGACTTGTTGGTTTGAAAATCTTTAATTTTAATTACTATGTAGAGCTTGTCTTCAATAGCTGCTAATCAACATCTGGAGATATTTTTGAAATGAGAATTTCTATGCTACCAACACTGTGAGACAGGAGCTACTGAATGATCTAATTGTCCAACAATGTGGACAATTTTCTGTGTTATGACATTAAATGACTAGCAAACTGCCTCAATAACTCTAACAGATTGCATTAGCATGGCTTCCTAATACACTTCTAAATTTCTCTCCCTCCTATAGGTGAGAATTTTCCTCATATTCTTTTGTACTCTAATAAAAAATTTAGCTGGTTTCTGTAACCCAGGTTATTTTTACTGACTGTCAGTAAAGCTGATGTTCTTTGGATAGGCAAGTAAGCTGAACCACTGGGAAAGCACCAACTTTTCCGTGGTGTGTTCTGGTCCCGAATCCTCAGTTCCATGGCATGCTCAAGCTTACAGACCAGGAGGTTCAGGAAGAGGGTGAAGTTGAGTGAGAGTGAACTTATTTTCCAAAAGGAAACATGTAGGGCAGAAGGAGGGGCAGATGCCTAGCCCCCTTCTCCTAAGTTTTGTTTTACTGTGCAGCTGCTAGACCCCAGCACTGAATTTTCACTGTCTCCAGGACAGCTTGTCTGAGTGAGAACCTGGAAATCTCTGTGGGTTGCCCTTCTGCTGCAACCCAAAGTGTGTATAACTTGGGAAGGGAGTACTACTACTACAGTCACTCTCCTGAGTGTGCACAAGGGTGCTCAGTGTGTTTCCTGACTTAATCTGAAACCAAAACAACATCCTTTCAATGGCTGGATTCCAGCACTACTCCCTACTTCAACAGCAAACCCAGCATACAGGTGACACTAAAAAGTTTGTGAAGCAGCAGTCACTTCAGGATTGTTACCCCACACTGTAAACAGAACACTTCAGCTGGATAGGGCACAAACAGTTCACTGACAACAGGGGAAACCATCCAGCAGCAAGCTCCTCCATTTCAACCCAAGTGGGAAGCAAGAAGATCTGGGATGCACTTGGCACATCTCAGCTATCACAAACTGACTGGCACACAACACAAAAGACTCCCAGAGGACAAAAATGGTCAAAGTCTCTAACTTGATTGCAAGAAATATTTCTGTATCTTTGCCAAAATGAACTTTTGGATGGTCTTTCAGTGCATGGACAAAAGTACAGAAAAAAGGAAATCCAGCATAGCTATACCTTCAAAAAACAGTAAGTTATATGAAACCACCCCATTAAAATTACATGCACTACAATACCATATGTATAACCAAGTGCAAAGGAAGAATTACAAGATTTTTTAAGAAACTCTTGTAGTATGGCACATAAAGTGGAAAATTTTCACTGAGAAATGCCAGGCTTTAGTTTTGTGTTACAGATGACTGTCAGCTGCAGTGAAATAAAGCTACATGGGTTTGTGGGGATGAAAATTTTACAGCAGCTCTAAATTTTTCAACTCTCAAAGGTTTAAGTGTAAATATTCATGAACTCCACAGAGTATATTTTCCACACCAAATCCATTTTGAATATTTTATCATACAAACCACTAAAATGATTTTGCATGATCTTTTAAAGAATACTTACTTGTTCACAAAAGTGGAAAATATCAGTTGCAAGTGCTAGAACATTGAGAAGATGATGAAAAGAGAACACACACTGCTCTGTAAATTCTGTCTGTTAAAATGTAGACAGTTTAACTGGACATGGAAAATTTCTTGTCTTTTACAAATCCCTTCTCTCCTTGGAAATCTCTAGTCACTTGTACCAGGATGCTCCTAGCTCAGCTTCAAAATATTTCAAGTTCACTGTGTGAGATGAAAGAACGACCAATGATTCTCTTAAGGTTTAACAAACAATAAGATGGTTCAATATTTTAGTTATGCACAATCTAAGCACATTAAGTGAATTTTCCATCACTTGACAATAAAATAAATTTGAATTAATGTCTCCTGTAAAGGAAAAAAAAATCTTACTTGAAACTAATTGGCTTTTTCATTTTCTCAATTACTAATTCAGTAACTTGAACACCTTAGTAATTAGTGAAAGGAGTTAATCTTGAAAAAAAGATCAAATGTTTAAAAATTAGAAACTGATTCAAATCTCAGACTGAAGTTATGTTAAACATATCCATAGCATCAAAGAGTTAAAAATAAAACCATTACTAATTCGTGGTAAATCAAACCTAATTAATAATACCTGCTTAATATATCATATACAGCAGCAGAAAAATTTAGTGCATTTAGTGCTAGGGACAGGATACCCTGGCAATGAGAAGAATGAGAGAAAAACATTTATTTTCACTAGAGTCAGTTTCCAAATAATAAAACAGTACAGTGATTACTCTGTGGTATCAATAAACAACCTTACAGACAGTGGGAGCAGTAGGAATAAGATACTTAGAAACAGAGCAGAAGAATTTACAGAGAAATAATCTGCCTTTCCACTGCTAGTCAGACAAAGCAGGACATCTCTCTCTGAAGTGAAAAATACATATTGACAAAGATGGAACCTCCTCCTCTCCAGGTCTAACCTACGCAAAGCCTTTGCTCCCACCCGTGCTGGGGAATGCATGCAGTGGCTCCCATCTATCCACTCCCCAAGGAAACGCCCATTGAGATTTGTGGAGAGCTTTTCCTTTCCTGCTCCAAACTGCAAATGTTTAAAGGGGAAATCTTTTTCTAAGAGGCAATGGAGAGGCTCAAAGTACAGGAGAGAAGACAGGCATTTGATTTCAGTGTGCTGTGCCGATGTTTCTGCCTGTCTGTACCCCAGTGTTGCTAAGCTATGGTGTTATGAGATGTTCAAAGCTATCTGAAGGCACACAAGCCCTTTGTTCCACAGGGCAGCTGAGTTTTCCTATCGAGAAAGAACCAACTGATGCTAGACAGCTCTGGTGACTTAAAACCCATCATCAATATAAATGGTAAATCCTCTCTGTGAAACAGTTTTTGTCTACGGCACACAGGAAGGGAAAAAGCAAAACCTAATCAGGCTGCTGTTCTCGTGGTGGTGAGGATAGACCCTTTGGTTGCAAATGAAAGCTTTTGCCACAAACTTAGAACAGTCAGACCAACAAGTCCTTAGCACCACTTGCAGGGTATCTTCTGTGGAAACATTTTACTGCTGCACAATAAATGAGTGCCATGCACGTGCATACATTCCATAGATGACACACCCGTTATACACACAGGGACACCTTTCATATCTGTGTTGTCCTGCTGAATGCGTCAGGTAATCAGTACTAAAAACCAACATGAGAAAACAGGCTCTGTGAAAATAAAAAATCCTTGAAACACAAATGAAGCTGTTTAACACCATAAGCACAAAATATGATTTGGCCAGCAGACACTACAAATACATCTTCAAGTATTAAAAATAAGTTGCCATTTAGTATAGCAGTATGTTCCTGGGCAGAACCCCCTAAGCTATGCAAACTACTTAGACTTAAGGGAAAGAAATAGAACAGTTGTTATACGCTTCTTCCCTTACACAGTTAAATGCAAATTCTCTCTTACAGTCATATTCCTGCTATCTCCCTGCACACACAGCCGATACGCCACCTACTGCAAACCCAAGCTGACAGTCAGAGCAATGCGAGCAGCATTTCCATTCCAACATCGAGCTGGAGCTGAATAAAGGTGCTTTTTAATAAGAAACATCCTCTTTGCAAGCTGACAAGAGCAAAGCAGGATAGCTGTATTGTTGTCCTAGCTTCAATAATGGAGAGAAAAGGAAGCAGGAGAGAAAATGAATGTGAAGAAAAAAGCAGCTCGGAAAGCTCTGAGCTAGACAAGGACTATAAAACGTCTCTGATCACTCTGAATGTCGGTGGTTATCTATACATCACACAAAAACAGACACTAACCAAGTATCCAGATTCTTTCCTGGAGGGGATCATAAATGGAAGAATAATGTGCCCATTTGATGCAGATGGTCATTACTTCATAGACAGAGATGGACTCCTTTTTAGACACATCCTCAACTTCCTACGGAACGGAGAACTTCTTCTACCAGAGGGGTTTCGAGAAAATCAACTTTTGGCACAAGAAGCCGAATATTTCCAGCTTAAGGTACTCTCAGAGGCAGTGAAATCAAGGTGGGAGAAGGAACAGCTAGCATCCCGAGAGACTACTTTCCTGGAAATAACTGACAGCCACGACCGTTCACAAGGACTTAGAATCTTTTGTAATGCTCCTGAATTCATTGCAAAAATAAAATCCAGAATTGTACTGGTGTCCAAAAGCAGGCTGGATGGATTTCCAGAGGAGTTTTCAGTATCTTCAAATATTATTCAATTCAAGTACTTCATAAAGTCTGAAAACGGTACACGATTGGTACTGAAGGAGGACAATACCTTTGTCTGCACCCTGGAAACTCTTAAATTTGAGGCTATAATGACGGCTTTAAAATGTGGATTTAGACTGCTGACCAGTCTGGACTGTTCAAGAGGGTCGATTGTTCACAGTGATGCACTGCATTTTATCAAGTAATCACAAAGGCAAAGGCAACGAGCACGCAGCCAGCAAAGCTCCCTGAGCTGCAGCCTCCTGGCATCACAAATAATGCATCTAACTAGCCCTGTACCACAGAGCTCAGCTGCTAATCAACTGATGTGAGCTAATGGTATGTAAATCTCATAATGACATCTATCTCTGGCTTACTTAAGCTGAATGAAAATTTTATGCCTGAATTTAACAAGAATTATCTGCTAACATTGTAAACAGATGGAATGCTTTATGCTCTTTGTAATATGTTTTCTCAATGCTGTCTTTCAACCAGAGAGTCTAGCTGAATTTTTGTGTACCTGTGTGATGAATGTGCATATACCTAACTGCTCTGTTGAAAAGCAGTGAGAGTGTTTTCAGATAATAAGCAGGCTTAAAGAATGTTTTGCTTATAAGACATTAAGAATGGATTTTAACTGGAATAAATGATTTTGACTGTTCATTAGTGTTTATGGTAATCTATTGTACTGAATTTCCAAAAAACAAGATTGCAAGAGAATTAAAAAAAAAACCAAATTAATTTTTAAGTTAAATGGTTTCTCAACTCACTTAACTCCAAATATATACCATATTGCTACACTAATGCTGCCAGAAACATGTAAACCAACAAAATAATGCTGGTGGAGATTAATTTTATTATAGGAATTGGGTCCAATCTGCACAGAATGTTAAATTTTCTAATCATACATCATATCAAATAGCTAACAAAAGTATTTGACATTAAGTTTAGTGTAACTTCTAGTATTGGCATCCAACAATGCCACAGTCAGTATTTCCTAGCAATAATTTGTGCTCATAAGGACAGGCAATGAACAGAGCCCTTGCTTTGCACAGTGGCTCACTAAATGCAATGAGTACTACCAGTTCTGAACAGACCACCTGCTGGCATTAAAGACAATTCACTCTAAGTAACGAAATAAATACCTTCATTCTCCTCATCTCCACTATTTATAAAATCTTTTAACTGATATTTTAAACAAAGTTTTAATAGTTTCTATATAACAACTGTAACTAATTTAAACACAAGTACTACAAACCAGCAATTTCACAAAAGCAAGCTGAAAAATCATCACAAAAGGCAAGGAGAAACAGCACTAACTCTAAGTGTTGTTTGTCATTGAAACCAATCATCATTCACAGCTTATACGAACCCAAAATTCAAGTAAAATGCTTATAAAGAAAGGAAAAAAAAACCAACTAAGTAGTCTCCCAAAACATTGATTTTATACAGGAAAAAAACAATGTCAACAAAAGGCAGTACAATCCATACTAGAAGTGACAACCAAGGAAAACAGCTAACAGAAGACAGGCTGAGAACAGCTGTGGTTTGGATTTTAGGGGGAACAAATCAATCCTAAGTATGAAGGACTGAGAATACAAATGCAAGGTCCACTTATCCCTCAACATGAAACTCTTTTTCACTTTTAACACACAACAGGTGTTGTTAACTAGGTCCCTGGCTAGAGATGAATTAATACAGTGATGCTACTCATCTCCAGACCAGGGAGCAGTGACTGAAACATATTCCAATATGATTTTATCAAATGGGGGAATTCAACCTCTCCAGCATACTCCATCACAATAAATACACTGTCTAGAAATTATGATGATTTCTATCTAGTCCTCCTGTTACAGACTTACAGTTCACAAAAAATGTGGTTCTATAAAAAATATGGTTCTAAGTGGAACTTTTCCAGACTCTAATGTTTAAAAATCAGATTACTTTACATTTCAGGCATAGAAGCTGAAGAACTGTCCATGTATCCCAAAACTTCTCTGAATTTGTCCAAATGCATTAATTATATACACACAAAAGATACACAGTAAAATACTATTGTTTACATGTGCCACCAGCATGTGTCATCTTCCTTCCTCCCCCTCCAAGCTATTTTCAAATTGAGATATTAAAAAAATCCTCATTAACCACTACTCTTGTACTTGTAGGACTTCTGTGAAAAGCAAATGTGAAAGCTTCCCTAAGAGAAATACAAAATTCTGTTGATTTTTTAGGACAAGAACTATAAACACAATCACACAGAACAATTACATGAAATGCCCTTTGTAGATACAATTCTCTACATGAGCAAGATAAAGTGGCAAGACAACCTAAAAAAGCTCCATAATGAATCCACAAGTTTTAAAGCAGCATGCTCGCAGTGCTGTCAAACACACAGCCTGCATCAGCACAAAGTCTGGAGGAGGCTGTTGCTCCTGGGATGTCAATCCATTTGCACTTAAACACTTTTGATTATAACCTTCATTTGTCCTGGGTCTTTGACTAAAATTTAAAATGTAATTGCAGCTGAAGAGAAGGAAGGTGAAAACCAATTTTTATTTCAAACAATTAGTATGTGTTAATTAAAATATGTTGTGGATGCTCGCCTTTCAGTTAAGTTCTTAGGAGGGCAAACACCAAGAAATCAATTGTTAGCACTCCCCTATCAGAAGGCAGCACCAGTTTTTTATTAGAGCATGACTTGTGCTCATGAAAAATCAGTAGACAATTTGATGGGTCTGCATTTATTGTAGAAAATATTTTCAGAATATAAGTTATTTATAAGCTGATAATCATAGGTAACATGGAAACCATCTGAAACATCTAAGAATATTGTATAGCTATTCACAAAATATTTATTTGCCGGGCTTTTGGTTCAGAGTATCTACTGCCCTCTCAACCTATGAAAGAAAACTTTGAAAAAAAAAGGTTTTTTTAAATGAAAAATGTACTTCTCTAATCATCATTAAAATAAATACCTGTGTTGTTTGCTTGGTTTATTGCAGATTGGTTTGTTTGTTTGGTTAAAATTCAATGATTCATTACCTTCATTACCTTACGTAATTTTAACTGGATTTTTTTAATATTTCTGTGTAAGTAACACTGACTTCTGTGGCAGACATGTCAAGTCATCTGCTGCACCACTAACTCCAATCTTGTTTCTTTTCCCTTTTTCATGAGTAGTGATGCATTTCTGCAAGTGTCAGGGTTTGAAATTTTTACATGCTACCTCTGATCGAAGGCACCTCCGCTCTTTGAATTACACAGCAGAAAGGAACATGGAGGTAAAAAATTTAATTCCCTTCCCTGTTCAGACTAAACAAATCCACAACTGTCTTGAATCATGCCATATCAGCTACAATTAGACACTTCAAACTAGATATAAACTTGAGCAATTTTTCAGGGTGGGACTGTCATGTTTTGGTATATGAACAAAAAAACCACATAAAACCTCAATACTGTAAATAATGTTTCCTTTGTACTTCATAAACATACTAAATATAACATAAATATATTTTGCATATGTTCAGTCAGGTGGATACTTGTGTTCCATCACAGTAGGATGAGGCAGAAAAGTGCCCAGTTATGCATCAGCTACCTTTTCTGTCTTTTCTTTAAAGCTGAAAATTTCATATTCAGTAACTGCTATGACAATATGAAAGCTGCAAAACCAAGGGCTTAAGTCAGAAATACCCACAGTTGTTCTAACAACATTGACATTACATAATATATGATGAGCAGGCAAAATATTTTTATTCTCCTTTATCTCATTAAGACTTGGATCACAACAAACTTACAGAACTGCCCTACAAGTATCAGGAAGGAATGACAATTACCATAATTTCTCTGATGATCTTCAACTGCTCCAGTAGGAATAAGAAGGAATTTCCTCCCATTTCCCCAAGAAGGCACTTAACCCGCTCCCAGGCTTGGTCAGCTCTGCTGGCCTCACTGCCTCTTTTGTCAGGTGAGAAAACACATCACCAAGCAGAAAGGAGAGGCAACTGAAGGCAGGACTAAATTGCATAGACTACAAAAAAAGTCCTTATGACCCTATTAATTTCTTGAATGACTACTCATGGAAAAATATAAATAGTTGCCAAACTAACCAAAATACTGACACCTGGATGTTTGCCTTTTCCCAGTGGTGGAGGAGAAGCCAAGGACCCTATCACACCTGGCAGTACACTGGCATAAGTACCAACCATATGGATTTCTATTGACAACAAAACCTACAAGTGGCTGCACTATGTCAGACTAAAGCCTGTTTTAGCCCAGTTTTCCCTGGTGACTGGGAACTGTTTCTAAACCCAGAGACTTCACATGTCTGGGAGAACCCTCATTTTTGATCCTTTGACCCTCACATTCTTTCCCTTGTCTTGTTCTCTCCTCCGATCATACAGATATTTTTCATATTTGTTTCACTGTACCCCTTCTCCTCATCAGGCCAGTTGTGGGGCTTTGTCAGGGATGCCTGGGAAAGAATAAATACTAGGAAAAATATATACAATGCCTGCTCAAAGTATTTCTTCAGTCTCTAACCAGTCTTACTGCCCAATGACTTCTAGAGTTAGATGTGGTTTCTGGAGGTAGTCTTGATGCTGTGAAATACAGAGGCTGCACAACAAAAGGTCAAATTGCAGCTCTGGTTCTGTACCTTCAGTACTGACTCACCCACTGACCAGTGTTTCACAGCCTCATAATTGCACTACTGATATTTTCAAATGCTCATGCCTTATTTTTTATTTTTTTGCATTTGTACCTATTACAACTGTTTAAGTGACAACAGGTCACTTCTTTTCTACAGTAGGTAAAAATTACATCATTTGCAGAAAATCAGTGGCATTGTTATTTTCACCTCTTAAAAGCATTACAAGGTTTCCTCTCAGTAAGGTGAGAAGAGGTTAAGAGAATTGTCTTCTTCCCCCACTCCTCATTAGTATACAAGCAGAATAAGGGCAGGCAACAAAAAATACAATTTAATAAGAGCAGTGTCTAATGCATTCATTTATTTGTTTGTCACGTTGCCCTACTACTACTGACTGATAAATCAGGACTGGGGATGAAGAGCACAAGTTCACTTGGGTCTGTGACAAAATAAGTACTATTTTCCTAGGCTGGATCATCTTTGCAAAATAGCTATTACATAAACCTAACATTGTCTGCTGCCCTGCAACACAGGGTAGATTGACAGGAAAGTGACTACTAGTTAAAAAAATGAAGGAATCCTTATATAAAGAGAGAGGCTTGCATAATTTACTGTTTTGAAACAAAATCAATAAATAGGGCACAAGAAATTTAGGATCAGAAAAAATAATATTTTGGAGTTTGTTTACATTTGAAATAGACATTCTGTAACTACTATGTATTAGTACATCACAGAGAACATTGTCTCAAAACACTGCCTCTGTAAAACATCATCATTCCCAACAAAATGCCAGAAAACAAGCAGTATGGCAAGGACTGGGGAAGGTAGGAGGAAGATGTATGATGACACCTGAGGAACATGGATGAGCAAGCACTCCAAAAAAGCAACTGCAGTTGCCTTTCCTTCTGAAATTGTGCAATATTCTGTAGAACTAGACAGTTGATTTCTTTTCCCAAGAATGTCTGTAGTAGGAGTACCACACACAGCTAATGCAACAGTCTCCCAAGAAGCTGTTTCTATCTGTGCTGTTCAAAGCTGGTACAATAAATATAGCTGTAAGCAGCAGCTACACATTTAAAACACCATTACAACATGATGATATGCAAGCTCAACATGCTAGGATTTCAAAACCAAGTTGTTAGAAGACGACTCCTATAAATTGAGTCATTCAGAATATCTATAAGATTCTCCTGATAATGCTAAAAATTACAATACTGCCTCATTCACTGGCAGTGTGACTTAGGGGGACATAACCTTGGTTTACAGATAGTTCATGAAAGCCATAATCTTTCTTGGCATTAAAGGAGTATTCCACTAGTCCTACCCCAAGCATTATTTTAGTTTTCTGAAAAGCTAGATCTCTATGCTTTTCCAGGATACACCTTTTTTTTCCTTTGACACCACCAAACTTTCAGGGGCAGCTTTGTTCCAGGTAAGGAGAGCCTGCTCTAACCAAGGCACAAGGTCTCCTTGCTCACAGCTCCTGAAGAGAGATTTGGCATCCTGTGTCAGGGGGTAGCACTTTATCAGCAACAGAAATACATCAAGGAGATGAGAATTCAGATTTAAAAACCAAAGGCTGCTTGCTGGGGAAATGGCCCAGGAAGATGAAGTTCCAAGGGGCTTGCTAGAGTCTGGAGTCTGATGCTCAGGGAAGTCTGCAGTGTTGGCTCCCCCAGCTGTGAGAATGAGGAGAGAGAAGTGTGGTGAGAGAGCCTATGAGCACTGTGAGATGAAGAGAACTGACTCAGTGTCAGCTGAGGGTCTTGGTTTTGTGATGAAAACAGATGTTCACACAGTGCAACACTGAGGTTATACAAGTAATGTCTAATAATCCTAAAATTAATAAATAAATAATGGACAAAAAATCTTACAAAATTCTCTTTTTGCTTTTCATATGCCAGCTTTCAAAGAGGCAATTTTCTTTATTGTAGCAGAAGTCAGAGGAATTAACTTTAAAAAAAAATTGTTAATAGAAAACTTCAAGCTACAAATCTCCTGCTGCATCTCCACAGACAGCTATTTGTTAGCTCCTAGGAGATTCCTGATTTTGTACCATAGCGAACAGATAAAGTGAAAAAAACCAGGTCAGAGGTGGATATGGACTCTCTCAATCAGGAAGAAAAAATAAGCAAACAAACTAGCAATGAACAGGCTAAGCATGAAAAAATGTAAACAGACAAGCAACTGCAACACCAAACCCAGTCATTTATTGCCTCTCTACTACTTAAATAAGGCCTTTGGCAAGTATTAGGGACAAAGCAGTACATTTCCTCAGCGCTGAAACTGGTAGTCTCAGAGGAGACAAATTAAAGGTCCTGCCAGCCAGGTTGATAAGAATCAGCTAAAGAGAGGAAAAGGTACTCTTGAGGTTAGGAGTCTTATCAATACTAACATTATCTAAGGCCTGCAGCACTGCCAGGTCTCGTGACATTTCCAACACATTTTCTAAAAAGAACAGCAAATAAAGCTCTTTTCCAACAGGGCAGAAATCTAACATGTAGGCTATCTTATGCCTTCCATATGGTGATAAAAGTCCACTTCTATAACTTTTCTGCCACAGCGAGATTATGATTTCTGAGTTTGCCCACAGAGTTTCTCTTTTTATTCACTTTGAAACTGACTCCTGCAAGCCTTACATGTCAGTCTTGTACTGGCCAAGACAGAAAACATTTGATTTTCCTCTGCCCCTTTGATCCATCATTCAAGGCTCTGAATTTGCAATACTCCAAAACTCTGAACCCATCAAATGTGATCAAACCCATCAAATGCTGGTAGGTGGGTGAACTGCAACAATCAGCAAAATACCTCACAGAAGACAAACACAATTTGTGAAGTCATGATCTGCAATGCCCAGCATGACTAAGATTCCTGGGATTTCTCAAGAGTCATAAGGAAAACCAAGAACTCTGGTACAAGCCAAAAGCACACTTCTGTTTATTCATTACTTCTACAAGCTGGACATGGACATCATAGGAGGACAAAATACAGTCATGGGATTAACTCCCATTGTTTTGTATCAGGTTCTGTTCTCAAGAGAGAAACTGACAATAAGTACATTCACTTGCTCAGACATACATGTTAGACTATTCATACAATACCCTAAATAAATAATCACACTCTAAGGGCACCAAGCACATTTACAAAAATTGTCAGAAAACTAACTCCAGTTAATGATGGCCTACATTAAATCCTTATCCTTTTGCTATTGTACCACTGCACCTTCCTTGTTCTTACACAATATTTACTATAAACAGCACCATAGGCCTTGACTACATTCACCTTAAAGCAGGAGTCATTGCTTCTTTGTGTGTTTCAACAGCTACCAATGGAGTCTCACACTGATTACAGCTCCTAGGAAGCTTGTACTTTAGGCTGTGTTGTATTTATCTGCCAACAAACCCAGTTATATTTCTAAGATAAAAACTGCTTCTGTGTCTTGAACATGGCAGCATCCAAATTATCTTCAACACTGAGTTGCAAGCTAGTATTTAAATTACAAGTTACTGTTTTATTCCTCTTGACAATCAGTTTTCAGTTAGAATTTTGCTTTTGGAGTTTAATTAATATATGTTAACTGCTTGAAAGAGGATAAAATCAAACATGCATTTAGCAGCTTTATACCATCCCATGTTATACCATAAGAAGCCTCTGTCTTTACAAAAAATTGCTGATTTTATCACAAGGAGGTCAGTGGTTATCATCATACTTACAATGAATTTCAGATATTCCAACATATGTATAATCAACATGTGAATTCTTTTTTTTTTTTTACTACAATATCAAGAAATTAAGGAAGTGGTATCTACAAACAGTTTGAGTGTTGTATTCTTGTGTCTGCAGTCACATTCACACACTCACAATTGGTAACATTTCAATACTAAATTCACCCTATATTGTCTGTCTACATGCTCAAGGTTGGACAACATTAAATACTCCGTTGCTGCCCCTGCAGCTTCCATATAATGCACTTCCACAAGGACTGCACCTAACTGAATTTGCTCCTACATGAGAATGAATTTCTTTAGTGTATCATTCTCAGCAGACTACACAGGCTCAGAGCAGCAGCTTCTGAGTATTTTTATTGGGGGGGAGCAGGTCACACTTTATACTGGCACAAATGTTTGGTTTTCACAGCTTCTGTCACCACTGACAGCACTTTCAGGTAGGTGCAAGCAATGTCATAAACAAACAAGAGCCACATACACATATCTGGATTTAAATTGCTTGCTCATCCTCATATAGGACCAAGTAAAGCCAATCCTCATTTCTCTTTTCCTTTAGCTTAGTGTCTTATTTGCTATGCTCCTTTCACTTTTAGCATAAACCAGCCTTCAGGCACTAAACAACACTAGTTGAATCACCAAGCACTGTTTATCACAAGCTCTAAACAAATAGATTTCTGTATGGAAAAACTGATCTAAAATGATCAAATGCAAAAGGAACTCAAATTTAGTTTAAGAGAACTTGTCTCACATACATCTTGATTCCTGAATATTTTGACTGTAAACATCATTCAAGATATTATAGATACTGAAGATTTTTCATGGGCTCAACCAACAGAGACACTTCATAGACGAAAAATCCACGAGGTCCTGTTAGGTAAAACACCATAATTTCTGGTTCTATAACTCTCCGAGCTGTGAATCACTAAAGGCTGGAAGAAGCTGGGACAGGTTCCTCAGAAAGGAGGCAGGTGCTCATCTCTACAAACCTCCATGGTTAGGTTGGACAGGGGTCTGAGCAACCTGTTTTAGTTGGAGATGCCCCTGTTCATTGCAGAGGTGCTGGACTAGGTGAGCTTTAATAATCCCTTGCAAACCAAACTGTTCTATGATTCTATGAGAAGTATTTTGGGGAGGTACCATCGTGCTTCTACTCTGCTCTCACTCTCATCTCCAGATATCTGCTGCTGACCACCCCTGAGGACAGGACACCAGCCAGATGAACTTAGCTGTGATCCAGCATCACTCATAATCTCTCTCAAACAGCATCATGCAGAGTAGCAACACTATCATGGCATTTCTAGGTGGTTTACAAGTATCCCAATAATAAATGTGATTAGAAATGTCATACATAATACTAAGGATTTACAACCTTAATTGTAATAATTCCAAAGTTTGACAGCACCTTGCCAATGTAAACATCTTTTAAAGATGTAAATCAAATGGTTTTGGAATGTCATATCTCATTTACTTTCTTTACTTACTAACTATGACTAAACCTTACATGTTTTAATTTAGCAAGATCCAAAAGGATCTTCTTATGCTAACATGCTAAATAAAAACATAAAAGACATCATCTTTGCCTCAAAAGCACTTGATGTAGGCAAAGAAACCGCAGATTAACAGAAAAAATAAATACTACATAGCCTGAATTACCTGAGAGATAGTTTGGAAAAGGTAATCTGAGTTCCACAATGATTTTGAGAAAACAGTGAATAAGCAAATAGTGTAACTGATGGCTGAGAGCCCTCCTTTATGTGCCCCATGGTAAATACCATGACTCAGAGAGTGAATCCATATCCAGTTTGATTCCATAAAATGGGTTTAGAACTTATCTTGTCAGCATATTTAAACAGCTCACACCATACAGTAATTAATTCTTCTGGCTGAAGCAGAAATACAAACAACTGAACACGTGGCCATCTTACACAACATTCACAGAACACGGAGGAGGCACCAAGTGAAAAGAGACAATTCAACCATTCAAACACAAATGAAAACAAAACAAAACCAAGAGTGCACCCTTACAACAAAAAAAAAACAACTAAATGGAAGTATCAAAATTCTGATTCATTTTAGCAGCTAAAATCTCATCTAATATCTGATTTACATGAGACACTGCATAGCCGTGAATCTCAGTCTTGCAGTGGTATAAAATGCCAATCTCTAGGAAGTACTCCTTCTTACCTTAAAACTGCCCCACAATTCACACAGAATCAGACTGAACAGGTTTTACCAATTAAATAGGAATTGCAAGCTATAAAACACACCTTGAATTCAGTACAAGTCTGCAGACTAACACCAGCCTTCTGACATGCTTAGGCCCGTGTAATAGAAGGAATCTCCATTTTACAAAAAATTCCCTGCTACAGAAAACAAAACCCAAACCCTACCTCTAGCCAGACACAAACTATACACTTTTGACAGTATTTGATGCTGAAAGGCAATTCAAAGATGTCAGATATTAGAAAAAGCAGACATCTCCATGTTTAATTGTCCAAAAAGTACCTTCAAGAAGACATTTCAAACACCCACTAGCATTAGAGTTTTGCTTAGGAAATTCTTTTAAGGAAGAGTAGGAGTTTGAAACTCTTTCATACCTTTCACATGAGCCATCTCCTCTCTGTGCCATTACCACGTAACAACTGCACTCCAGTCCCATTACTATTTAATCCATGTGCTCCAGAGATAATACTACTTTTTATGGACTATTTTTATGACTGTTTAGTTTATGCAATTGAAATCAAGTAAAAAAGATCTGAAAATGTGACACAAACTTTCCAACCTAAAGAAAAGAATTCAAACTAAAGGTAGACAAACAACAAATTGAAACAAAAAAAAAATCTAAAACAACATTGCAAAGAACATTACATTCTAAACCTCTCCCTCATCAATCATTTTATTCCCCTTCTTTTAAATAAAAAATAGTAATAATTTAAACTTTTGGGCACAGCAGATAAACAGTTATGACGTTATTTTTTAATGTTATGATATTCTACAAAATATTTTTAAAAGGCACTTTCTAAAATTTACCAATTTCTTAAGAAGCAAAACTGGAAATCTGCAGTAATAAGTAATTTCTTAAGTGCTTCAAAGAAAATGTCTATACTCACCAGTGCTGCCACTTTCTGATTTTTCTTCTGATTGGTTTTCTGGGAAAAAAAGTAAACAGAAAAGTAATCACAATGTTTCAGTGTTGATTATTTGAAATTACATCCAACAACTCGGTTGCAAAGTAAAGAATGATAGATTATGATAAAATCAAAATCACTGGATTTGATTAATGTTTATAAATATACCTTCTGAGGAATAATTTGCTACCAGGAGCAACAAAAAAAGTCCTTTAGGGCCCAAACTCCCTCACAGCTTAAATGAGAGAACTCTACTGCACCTCTGACTGAGCTCTGCAAGAACAAAGTTACACATTTATATAAAATCAGTAGCAGGATTATGCTCAAGCAATGTACAGTATTCATTTCTCTCACTGGTTAGCCTAGACAAACATTTTTGGTTATTACAAAAATAATCAGGGTTCTGCAAAAAAAATGTTTTTAATTGGCATTAGATAATTGTTTGATCTTGATCAACCTCTTCTCTACTCTTTTTACAGGCAATGGAAGAATTTATTTCTTCAAGCTTTTTCCTCTCTGATTATTTGTCCTACAACGATACTATGGTCCACTGGTATTTTTGTCAAGTACAACAAATACGTATAATCAGAAACATCTCCTGTTCCACGCAGCAGAGAATCATATGTAGGAAACAGACACAGTGTTGCAAAGTGACTTGCTAAAAAATTATCACTCTGGTGAATGGCAGAGTCAGACTCAGAAGCAGCTTTCTGCAAGAAATTCCAATCCCACATTTCAAGAAATGGCTGCCAGTAGATGTATTGTGGTAACCTGAGTTACAACCCCTACCAAGCCCTGTAAGATTAAACCCCTCCATTAATTTGTCAGTATTATATTTGACTGTTCCTCCTATATTTCTCCTTTTTATGCATCCTCTGATGCAGAGAACAAAAAGAACATTTTCACTTCCCTGAAACACAGTTAGAAATGGTAAAACATACTTGTCCTTTGCTTTCAACTCAGGCAAGTTACAGCTGTCATTACAAGCTATTTACTTACAGGCAAGAGTGAATAACTGCTCTAACTCAGAGAGTAATTTTCGAGTTCAGTTAGGTTGATAATTTTTGCCATTTACAGGCTGGGTATTAAAAGAACTGAAAACATGAAATATTTTAGAAAACCTTTTTCTTGCTGGCTTTGAAGGCTTCTGTCCCTCTTTTCTCATTGAGATATCTTGAGAGCCTGAAGACTAAATGCAAACATAAAAACCAGTATCTTCCAGCTCCTTCTTTCTTTACACCAGGTGGCTGTCATTAGTCTCAGCAGCTGAAGGCACCTGCTTTCTCTATGAGAAACAATCATTATATGGCTCCTTCCCAGCCATGAGTATTCACAAAGTGAGTAAAGATCCCTGCCAACTTTCAGACGTACATCCAGGATAGCCTGTTTGCAGAAAACCAAGTATTTTCTCACTGATGTAATTTTTTGTGCATATTTGGCACAGTTACAGCATGACTTAAAATAAATGCCCAACCAATTCCTAACTCAATCGTAGCTTAATGAATGAAACATTCAGCACACACACAAGAAGCAGAGAGGATGAAATAAAGAACATACAAACATACAAAGATACAAACACCTGTCTGAAGTGAGAAGCAAGATGGAACTGGATAAAGCTGTTTAATTCCAACTCAGTTTCAATGGAAGACCTGAGTTACTTCACCGAAACTATTGCCAAATACATCACACTTGAACATTGCTAAGAGCAACTCTGATTCAAATGGCAATAAAGGTACTTCATGTCTACAGGGAAAGTGTGTGTGTTGGTATCTGCCCTCAACAGCAGGGACAAAAAACCAGACAAAATTCAAGTAAGAAAGTGTCATTTTTCTTCCTCATCATTAGACAACTCAGTTTTGTTATGATTAGGTCACAAGTTCTGCTTTAAAAATCTTCTCAGCATTAATATAATGAAGAAGGTAAAGGCAGTTGTACTACATCTACTGAATATACTTAATTAATGCAGACCACAGCTGCTCAGCCTCCTCTACAACATGCAGGAGTTGACAAACATCAACAGATTTGGGCTGGTTAGTTGGAGTTTTTTGTTGTTAGTGGGCTTTTTGCTGTCAGTGTAGTAGTGGTGGTGGTAGGATGTTGGTTTTTTACATATACATCAGTGAGACTGGAAACAAAAGGTATTTTAAATCAATGAAGTTTGCAAAAAGACTCTTCCCATCACACAGAGCCCATTCTAACAGACCTTGTATTTTGTGTGTTATATCCTCAATTGTTTAAATTTGTACAGGAATTAACAGTCTATAGTTTTAATAACAGAAATGAAAATAAAAATAGCTTATTCCTGCCAGCCAGCTGAACCTGCTTTACAGTACTTTTTTAACCCTCCAACAAGCATAAGTAATTAAATAAATATAATTTCCATTTTTTTGAGATGGAGAAGGGGTATGATGCAAGCAACTGCAATTGTTTTCTAAATGGACTGTATGTCTCAATAATACACACAAAATTTTGAGCCATCAAAGTGATATCTGTAATTAAACTAGCTTGAGCCTCAAATTCTCCTTTTCTGATCAAGGTTTTCATCTTTATGGTTCTCAAAAATATTCGGAAATGTGAATAAATGCCATAGTTTTGAAAGGCTGCTATTGCTTCTATTACTCAGAAAAGACTGAAGTACAAAACAGAACAAAGAAGCATTAGGTTAGATCCCAAAATCTTCTGGAGACTGGACTATGTGGTGAAGTGACAGCCTGAACAGAAATAATTGGAAAGTACTGTTAATGTAGACAGGTGAATGTCAAAACTCCTCATCAGGCTGCACTAAGATGGCAGAACAGTGAGGGTGTTTATTTCCTAAATAGCAGTCTGATGAGGAATTTCAGAATTCAGACACTTACCTAACAGAACTGGAAACAGTATTACAAGGCATCAAGATTCTGAGCACACTGTATTTTACTGAGAATAATTAAGTGCAATTAAAGAAGAAACTGCTTTAATGAAAGGTTTTTATTAGGGTTTGTTCCCTTCACATTTCTTTAATGGCTGAACATAGCTGATATTTAAATATATATATATATATACACAAAATACAGAATAAAAACCTCTGAATATTCATTTTTGCTGGAACACAATTGCACATTGTATGTTATATGGTAGGTGTGATTCATGTACGAACTCAGAAAAGGTCCTTTCATATATGAGAAGCTGTGTAAAGGAGAAAACCCCAACAATTCAAAACAATGGGAGAATTTTCAAGGAATGAGGGAAAAAAGGAGCTGTTCTTGGGTACATAGGCAGCGTTACGTGAATTATTGAACAAGAACACAAAAAATAATTGAATGTCACTAATTGAATTTCTGAAGGAGAGAAGGCTCAGGAAACTGAAGAAAAACAAAGGATTAAAAGCCAGCAATGTTCTGTGAAGCATGAAGCAGTGAGACAATCCATGCCTTAATGCTGCTCAGAAGCAAAGCTCTGATATGTGTTCTGTCAATGGAATTCTCTGAACACTTTTTACTTTCAGTAAGATGGAAAGAGCATGAAAGAATTTAAAGACGCAAAAATAGACATTACGGCTATCCCACTTATGGAGGGGGAGTTGTGAAAATATATTCAAAATTTAAATAAAATGAATCATCTCATCCAACTTTACAGAAATATCTTACACTTTATCTGTGTCTACAGTGTAAAATCTTCTCCTCCACCCATCAGTCCTTTACAGTCTGGGATGCAACTGCCTGCCAAGGTCTGTGTTTTCACAACTCATATTAGTAGCACATTTTTCCAAAAACCAGTTCAATAAAAAACTTTTATCATTATCTCTAGCAAAGCTGTAATTTTATTTCCATGAAGATCCAGCAAACCTAAACTATGTGTGGGCAGAAAAAATTAAGCAATGGGCAATTAAAGTAGTAAGGAAAGCAATGTATAATCATAATCAGAAAAGTCTGCAGTTAAATGTTTAACAAAAGTGTCTTCCCATTCCTTCAATGAGGAAAGAAACTGTTAAATTACAGTATTATCTTATGTTAGGATGTCTGCCAGCAGGAAGCTCAGAAAACAATTTTAACCAAATATACCCTATGTATCAGACCCATGAATTGCCCCTAGATAGTTTCTAGCTATATGCACATATGAAGAATTCATTTTGTTCAATAAGACACATTAAAATATATGCAAAATCTTCTGCTTCTCACCCGCCAAAAAACCACAGCTATGACAGCTGATGACAAAGATGAGATAAAACGACTGGAAGCACAAATAGCATTGTAGCATAGCAACTGTTGATGTACATATGGTGATGTTTATGGAACAGAATGTAGTTCATATTTAATGCAGAAATAACACCAAAACCAGCCTAGACAGCAAGACCTAGACAGCAAGAGACAAGTGTGCTTTGGATCCCTCTGCAGATATGACAGAAGCCATGCTTCCCACCAGCTCTGCTACACTCATGCTCAGGAACGCCACCACAGGCCTCAGTGATCTGCCCAGCAAGCAGACAATGCAATGTTCACATGTGCAACAGCCCTGCAAAGGGACTTTGCAACTACCACCATCAGAGTACTCAGTATTATTCACCAGGGCTATTTCAAATCACAGAAAAAAGAAAAGAAAATAAATGGGAGAAATCCCAGAGCTAATCCAAGCAGATGATGTAGCACATGTGAAAGCCAGTACAGGCCAGATTTTTAACAGTATCTGGGATGGAAGGCACTTTACCAAGCTTCCTTTTAGCTCAGATACACATTTTGGACACAATAAATTGCACCTTAGAAAAGTCTACTGCCCATTAAGAAATACAGGACCACCAGAGATTCAGACATTTACAATGAAAGAACTAAAGGATTTCTCCCAACACTACAAGTAGGAGAAGCATAGTTCAGTTAAGACAAAGCAAAATAAAACCTACAGAAAATCCATTCAGAAGACTAGAAATTACATCAGGCAGAAAATATTAAATTACTTGTCAAATTTGATCTTTTTTGCTTGCTCTAAATGACCTGATGAGTCAATGTGAAGTGCTGAATTATCCAGAATATATAAACTGCCTACAGCATCTTCCAAGATCACAGCATATTTCAGAAAAGCCATCAAAAAGACAGTCACTCCAACATAAGGATCCCAGTGTTAAAGGACAACATAGAGAATAGATCTTAGGATATTCAATGTGTTTAAAAATATGGTGGAGGGGGGAAAAAAATCACAAACCCATAATCAAACAAAAACCCCACCCTGTACAAAACAAACCCAATTGCTTTACGCCATTTGCTCTGGTTGATTTGAGTCAGTCCTCAATAAGGGTATGGACTGAGAGCAGTAGTGCATGAAGCACTTTTTATCCATATTCATTTGCCCAATTCTTCAATTGCACCCTTCTAGATGACATCTGCAGTTCCATACCAGCTTAATCTTTGGCCCATGGCTGAAACTGATATATTGCTTGTGTTACATGGTGCAGGTTAAAAAAAGAAAAAGGACACAACATGCTTTTCAGAAAAAATATGCTAATTATAACATGAAGACTCATACTGATCTGTGAACGTAGGAATGAATGATTTTCAATTTGTTATTATTGCCTTACTCTGGATTGACTGATGTGCAAAGATGTGTAAATTCTTACTGACTGTTTTTTCATGGTCAGTATAGTCGGTTTTTCCATGGGGATTTCCTGGCATCCAATACAGCAGCAGCCTTTCCTTCAGCTGGGACATTTGTACAGTTCACCTTTCAGACACCTGTTTTCCCACCAGCCATAGTTCACTTTGAAATTTGTTGAAAATGGACATGGAGCTCAAAACATGCCTACACATTTAAGCACATGAGTGTAACCTCAGAAATATGATGCCTGTAAGGAATGTGACTGGAATTTGGAATATTTGTGTCATGTTCATTTTGCAAAACAAAGAAATTCAAGCAAGAAAAGCACAGTAAAGTATATTTTTGACTGTACTGTCACTGTACCAACTTAAACACAAGATCAAAATATTTTAGCCATTTTGCATTTAAATTAGTTTCAGGAAAACACATTGACTTCATGTTACGCTTGCTAATCTCAAACAAAAACAATTTTGACAGGGTCTATGCTTAGTCAGTGCTTCATCCCAATCATTTCTCATGTAACTAACCACCCTTTGCTCCCAGTTAAAATAATAACTTGTACTCAGTAAATCCACAGTCCTCAAATAACCCTTTCTAGTTGCTGAGAAATGCACAATATTTAACTGATTAAATTTTAAAAAATGAACAGAGGAAAAATCAGCATTCTTACAGAATTGTATTCACAGCAGAGACCAATTTAAGGAGAAAAAGCCAAATACTAGTTCATACAAAAAATACGTGGGAACACAAAACCATGCTTTTTCAGTCAAAACCCTAAAGGAGAATGTACACAATGTACTGCACTCTGCACTGCATTCCACATTCCCCCTGCTCTCTCCAGCAGACTCAGAGATGAAATGTACATGATAACCCCAGAGAACTTAAATCAGCTGCTCAATCACACAAGTAAACAGACAGACACAAAAAAATTACAACAGCGTTATCTACGCAGAAAACACCAAAATCTGACTTACGAGTCTTCTATCTTTTACAGCACTGAATTATTGAAAGCACACATACTGGAAAAGTCATAACAACTTTAATTCTAACTTACCTACTGAAGTTTCTGTGAACACTGTTAAGGTCTGTCCTCCCACACTTTGCAGAAGAAATGGATGTTCCCTTGGTGCACTGACTGAAGCGGGCTTTCCTCCAATATCACTGATGCTTGCAAGCTCTTCATTCAAAGTAAATGACACCTAACAGTCACAATTGCCACAGTGTTACCAAACAGACTCAAGTACACTGTTTCCCAAGTTACAGAGAAACAAAAAAGAGAGAAAACACAAGTAGTATAGCATATTTCTATTTCAAAAATAAAGAGTAAAATAAGAGTCCTTCTACACTGATCTCTTGTCGAAATACAGAATTCAAAGCTTTCATGTACTAAATGAAATTTACTCAGCTTTCAAAAAGTTGTAAATTACCTCATCCTGAAGTCAGAGAACAACTTGATTTTACTTGTTAAAATACATGGCATAACAGGTTTTCAGCCATCGCTCAGTATGAGTGCTGAAAAATGTTTTGCACAGCCAGCTGAGTTCCAGAAAAAGTGCTGAAGTACCACATAAAGTGTTACTAGCCTGGGACTCCTGAATTGCATACAGCCCAGAAGAGGTTTAAACACAGCTCCTTTGCCACTCAATAGAGAAGCTAAGGAAGCTTGAAGAGGGATACTTCACACCAGCACCACATGCCTTTCCTGTGCATCCTCCTCAGCCTTTTGTACCAACACATCTCAAAGTGTCTGAAGAGAAGGTAAACAAAGTGAGGGAACAGAGAGACCTGATGCAAGTAACACAGGCATCTATGGGCAGAGCTACTAACAGAGTTCTCTCCTCCTGATTCTGTGGTACAATGCTTTGCTAGAGGTGTAACAAAAAATATGTGACATTAGAAACCAGCACATTTTAAACACTTTTTTGAATTCAAAACATAAACTTTAGCAATTACTTACTTCCGTTCTTCCTTGATTTCTGAAAAAGAAAATATTTAATATTTAATAAATATATATTTGCTATAATAACTAATTATATAAATATTGAAATATTTAATGTTTCCATAGCCTAATTCCTCAGTTTAGCTTTCCTGATTAAAAAAGCAAATTCAAATTCTAGTTTTTTTATTTCTCTTCAGGGCTATTCAAATTTTTTGTTATGCTGATGCCCAAGAATAAATGGGAAAAGTCAGCATGTGAAAACAGAAGCAGCAAAATAACATATGTAAATAAAACCAAATTCTGCAATTAGGTTTCCTTAAACCTAGGAAATCAAGCCTCCTGTAACGCGACAGAGTGACTCCCCAGTATAATTTTGTACAATTTATATTCCTAATCACTATACAAGCAAACACTGATCATGTATCAGAGAAACATGCACACTGTTGGCAAGAAAGAGGATTATGACTTAGAACAGGTGCAACATATTCTTATTTTACACAGGAAACTTCTAAGAAACGCAACCAGTAAATGTAAAGGCTTACTTGACAATCCTTAGTTTTCCCACTTCACCTCTTCCTGAAGCTTTACTCCACTGTTGTGACAAGTATTTGGGGACCTAAGAGAAGACAACAGAATTCAAGAAGAGCAGATTTTAAAATACCATAGAAACTGTGTATGGGTAAATACTTTAAATGCTTTTACCTTGACCACTTCAGAATAAAGTATGAGCTAAATATAGTAGACAATAGAGAGCCATAGAGGGTTTTGATTGGCAGGGTCCTTAAGAGACATCTAGTCCAAAACCCCTGCAATGAGCAAGGACATCTGCAATTACATGAGTTTGCTCAGAGTTCTATCCTTCCTGACCTTGAATGCTTCCAGGGATGCCACATCCACAACTTGTCTGGGCAACCTGTACCAGTGCCTCACCACTCTCATTATAAAACATTCCTTCCTTACATCTAGTCTAAATCCACCCTCCTTTCACTTAAACCCATTACTCCTTGTCAAACTGCTACAGACCCTACTAAAAACTGTTCCCATCTTGAGGCACTGGAAGGCACCTGTAAGGTGGCCCTGGAGCCTTTTCCTCTCCAGGCTGAGCAGACCCAGCTCTCTCCATGTGTCTTCACAGAAGAGGTGCTCCAGCTCTCTGATCATCTTTGGGGTCTCCTTCGCACCTGCTACAGCATGTCCACATCCTTCTTATGCTGGGGGCCCCAGAGCAGGACACAGCAATCCAGGGGGGATCTCATCAGAGCAGAGCAAAGCAGAGCAGAAGGACAGAATCTCCTCCCTTGACATTCTGCCCACACTGCTTTTGTTGCAGCCCTGGACAGAATTGCCTTTCTGGGCTGCAAATGCACATCGCCAGGTCACGTCCAGCCTCCCACCTACCAGCACTCCCAAGTCCTTGTCCCCAGAGCTGCTCTCAGTCTTTCCTCTGATACTGTGCACTGATACCGGGGGTTACCCCAACTCAAGTGCAGGACCTTGTGCTTGGCCTTGTTGAACTTTATGAAGCTCATGCAACCCCACTTCTGGAGCTGTTATATAGACATACATGCACACATATACATAAATACACATATGTGTATATATATTCAGTTAGAGAGAGCAAAGAGAATAATGTAGCACAAAAAATAACACCAATGTAGAGTCTCAAATGAGAGAAAAATCTTAGTAACTTCAATCTCAAATGCTACTATCCAATCATAAAAGGCAGAAAAAGATCAGCATCAAATTCTTAAACTAAGGAGTGTCAATATTTTATCAGATAAAATTGTACTTTTAAATATTCATTAGAAATTATCATCTCTCTGGGAAAAAAAAAATCAACCAACCAATCACAGCGATGACAAGTTAGGCAATTTCTGGAGTGAAGGGAAGGCTTAGAGTCAGGGAACCTCAAACATGTTGAGCAGTAAACCACAGCCTACTGCCACTCCTCCAACAGCAGAACCACGCTAGGCAAATCTGCCTCCCATCACTCATTCCCAGCTCTACACTGCACTGGGCAAAGTCTTTGAGCAGCTGGCCAGTATGTGGAAAGAGCAGACTGACCTAGCTAAGAGGAGTGGGTGACTTCTATCTTTTAGTTGGGCTGATTTTGTGTTTAGCAGGTGGAACAACCAAAGCAGCACCTCAAGCTATTTTCCAGAACAGCTGCACAAAATCGTGATTAGTCCAGGGACAGAAACAAGACCTGAATAAATGGAGAATTAAAAGCTGCTGCAGTGCTGTTACCTCACCTATACACCAATTCCTTCAGTTGCAAAGGCTGTGGTATCTGCAGCATCGGGTGACCTGGGCTCAAAATGTACAATAAAGGCCTCTGGAAAGAAGCACACTCCTCAGAACTTCACAGCCATGTTCTTTACTGGCACAGCAAAATTTGTCCTGGCTCACACAGTCCACAGCTACTGGAAACATCTGTGCCCATGTGGAAAAACAGCGTGAGGCACAGCCAGTAGTGAAGAGAAATACACTAAGCTATGCCTGCGGCATTTTCTGTTTCAAGCAGCAAAGAAGCACTTGGAAGCCTAATTTTTGTCTTGCACAGAGTAAAACTAAACACAGCTGAAGAGAAAAGGAGCCTGTTCCAATAACTTACTGACAAAGAACAACCTCCTAACTTCCTGAAGCTCAAATTAAGTTAACACTACCTCTGCAATTATCAGTTCTTCAAGAACTCCAGCTCTTGGAAATGGTGCTTAGTTAGTACTTTTAGCTTTAGACTCACAGCACCCCATGAAGTACCTGCAGAAAAACTACAAAATCCAGATGCCTCCAACTCCTCAGACAAACAAAATGATAGTCCAGGTTCCCATAAAGTTCAGACAACTTTGGTCAAAAACACCACAAAAGCACAACAGAAAACCATGAATTGGCACAATCTATTGATATATATATTTCCAGTTTTCAAAGTAGTAACTTTCTACAACAGATTCCATGCCAGATCAGATACTGTTTTCTTTCTAAACTCAAGATAAATGCTATGACATGCTCCAGCTACTCAACAGAAGTATTATTACATGCTTGCACCTAATCTCTATTTATACTGCCAGATAATAAGGTAGATGCACATTCAGTATGAGTGGACAAGGAGTGAAGGGCTCTTATGGTGTTAAAATCATTGACTTGCTATATAATACATTCAGACTGGGAATTAAGTCAGATTAAGAGGTTGCAGATCAATCATACTGCATAGGAAAGTCTCAAAGAGTGCATTTAATCATCTTTCTGCTGGCCTACCTGCAGTCAAAGGCCATGCAGAGAAAGACAAAGGGTTATGAAGGGCTGTGATCAAAGGATTACTTCCAGCTATCCATAGGTACTTCAGCTAAAACCAGGTGCTACTCACACACCCACATGCTAATGACATAAACAATCAGGAAAAACTAAAGTCTTAAATGCCACAGACATCTTATTTTGTACCTTTCTTTTAACTTTAACATAATAATTATGGTAAAGAGTCAGGTTTCAAAATCTTAACAATCCTTGAAAGAATACACAGAAATCAAGAGCAACCTGTTTTACCGGGCAGAATTTTCACAGATCCCACAGGAGGATTTTGAGAACTGCATGTGCACAGAAAGACTGACCTGTGGACAGAACGCCTGCCCAATGAAAGGCAACTGAACACAGCCTTTCAGGACAAGTGGTCTTTATTCTGGGGTTTGTAGGTAAGAACACTCTTCTCTCCAAAAAAAGAAAAAAATGACAGTTTGATCACTAGAACAAATCTGACATACTAAGCAGCATCACTCCAAGCCCTCTTCCCACTGCTGCTCTCCTCTGCTGCTCACACCACAGCTCTGCCCAGGCTGCAGCACACACCAGGCACTCTACAGGCACTGTGAGACACGAGGGCCCCTGCTCCACTCATCTCTTCAGCCTGGGCACAGCTTCCTACCCCCCCTGAGAAGGGAAAACTCAAGCAGCCCCTCTCTGTAACAAACTACTTCCACTTTTCTGCAAAAAACTAAATTAGCTCTTTCTCTATATAGCAATACATACACAGTGCATACAACAGAAACTAAGGCTGATGTCAGAGTCTACGTTTAAATTTTTCTTTGAAAATACAAACTAGAATTAAATAAAGATATCCTCTTTCTAGCTATAGAACAATGCAGCAGATTAAATTTAAAAATCTGACCAAGACACTCAGGGAACAAGAAAATTAACATTCTAATGGCAAACACTAAATGAGCTTCACTTTACCACGAGTACATAACCAAATAGTCTTACTATTTCTCTACCTTAGCTTTCACTGAAAACACAGAAATAAAAACCTACTGCCTTTCTGGATTTGTACTGAAGTAATTCACTCTCTTTATGGTACCTCCTTTTACTGCTCATGCTTCTAAAATGCTCACCACTACATTTTTTTATTGCCTGTTAAGTAGTCTCTCTGGAATACTTCCTGTGCTAGCACAATGCATGCTAAAAGGAAATCAAATAAGCCAGGTGTTTTATTCCATCAGAGCTGAATGCTCTCTCCCCCAAAGGAAGGATAAATTCATCCTCATTGTCCCAGCTAGTGAAGATAAAGTACAGGTACCATGCACTGTCTTGGAACTGAGCTGGAAGTCCTGCTAACAGATGTGGCTGTTTCCAAGCTCAAGTCCAAAGGAAATCAAAGGATAAAATCCTGCCTACCCCATGTTATGGTCTATCACTGTTAGCATCTTTTCAGTATTTTTTACTATCATTACAATACAAGAAGACAGACATAAGTTCAGAACACATGCATGAAGGACTACATCAGCATTTACTTCGAAGAGTAAATACTCCAGCTTTCCTTTCAGTCCTGTTTTGTCATTAAACACAGTGGCACCAACTGTAAGCACAAATGTGCCTGAAAATTCCTTGCTTCAGGAAACACCAAACTGTATCAGACTAAAGGACAAGCAAGTTGAGCGTCCTGTCTCCAAATGCAGCCAATAGCAGTTACTTCAGGAGGAACATACGAAGAAAATTTATTTCCCCAGCATGCTCTTCTAATTTCTAGGGTGTTTTAGCAGACATGCGCTTTGGCAACATATTATTTCTAATCTCTCAATTCAATTTTCTTGCCTGAGTTTGACTAACTGTGTCTGAACTTCTGCAAAGTTTTGAAATTCAGAATTTCCAGCTGCAAAAAGTTCCAAAATTTAACTACACATTGTGCAAAACAGTATACCTCCTTGGCTCATGTTGAGCCCCACCAATGAATTAATCTGACACACCTCTAATTCTAGTATTTGAACTGATTCTTTCCTGTTCATCTTTACCTATTCACTTCTTCCTTATCCACCCGTGACATTACTCATTGCTTCAGATCTCTACAAGACTTCCAAATCAATCCTCTTGCAGCCTAAAAGGTAACAAAGCATTTAGGAGTTCCCTCCACAGCCATCACTCCTTGTTGTCAGGAGCAGACCTGGTTCTCTCCTCTGTTCTGTTCCCAGGTGCACTGTACACTTTCCATAGCAGGGGGGATGAGACCATGGCTACATAGAGCATTCCAGACAGAGGCAACATCATGGTACAATAATATTTTCTTCTTTGTTTTCTGTGTCTTTTGTAATCATGTCCAATGTTGACTCTGCTCATTTGACATGTTCTTATAGAGGTATCTCATTGTACAGAAAAAAGAAAACCACTCCTCCTGAATGACAACAACCAGCAGAAACCCAACTGCTGCATACCTATAATTAGGATTGTTTTTCTGTGTGCACACCAGATTAGATCTTTCAACCCTTAATTTCATCTGCCATTTTGTCATCCTGTCACTCAGCATGTCATGGTCTAGTTCTGCAGCTTTCTGCTGCCAGCAGTCACTGACAGTGCCCAGGAAAAGCTACCACAGTTACAGCACTTGCACGGTGCTTGTTGTGGCTTTGTGACACCTTTGTGACACTCAGGTGTCAGTACAGAGGAGGAACCAGATGCAGCAACCTGCCCACCAAAAATTCTGCACAGCAAAGCAAGTCTGAAATCCCCAACCATTTTTAAGGGCCACAGCAAGTTTTGGTAACTGAAGTGTGATAGTGTTACACCCCCCTCACCGCCCAGGATGAGTATCTGGGTACCCCCCTGTCCCCACAGGGTCTCTGAAGTTGATGGTCTGAACTTATCCCTAAAGCAGGAACGGGAGGAAGGAACTGCTTCTCTCAAAAGAGAATAAACATAGGTCTAGAGAAAGAGGAGCATGCCCAGAGGGGACTTGAAGCAGGCAGGACACACGCTCCCCCATCAGCTTCAAGTTCCTCTTTCTGAAACAATGCCTGGTATTGGCAGCAAAATGTCTTGACAGCAAAGACACTGACTCCAGGGAACAGCGCAGGGCCAGCCTGTTAGTGGTGGCACCAGACTGGAGTGCGGCCCTGCACCAAACAGGTCTGATTTGACACCCTCAGTACCTTTTCACAGCCCCTCCACCAGAGCTGTATTTCACTAGCACTAAAGAGAGCTGTAATGACAAGACACTGGCATTTACTTTCCTTGTTGGATGTAGTTTTTATCAGGACGTGAATTTGGGCACACTCAAAACTTTTTCCAGCTCTCAAAGTTTTCGGGAAATAAAAGTTACACAACCATGTTTGTTGCTCATCACAAACCACTAGCAAGGACAAGGAAGAGATGTCAGTGAAAAAAGATGTCAGAAAACAGTGACAGTGGTGAGACATTGGCACAAGCTGCCCAAAGAAGCTGTGGGTGCCCCATCCCAGGAAATGTTCAAAGCCAGGCTGGAAAAGCCCTTGAGCAACCCGGTCTAGTAGGAGATGTCCCTGCCCACCGCCGGGGGAGGTGGGACTGAATGATCCTTAAGGTTCATTCCAAGCCCTCAACATTCTGATTCTGTGTAGCTCCCCAGCAGCCCAACTTTCCCTGCGGTGTCTCCTTTACTCAGCGGGCATCCGGGCCCGGCCCCGCGCTGTCCCCGAGGAGGGGAACAGGCACAGTGGCTGTCCCAGGCCACAGGGCGAGCCCGACGCGGGCAACCCCAAACTCACGGCGCCCACCCCGGGCACGGCGGGGCGGGGACGCACGGAGGCACCCGGCCGCCACAGGCCGCGCTGGGCCGGGCCCGGGGCCGCGGCGGCGGCTCCTCACCTTCACCAGCCACATGCCGGTGTTCTGCTTGGCGCCGGTGAGGTCCAGCTCGCCCTTGTCGCTCATGGCGGGGCAGCGGCCGGGCCGGGCCGGGCGGCGGACGAGACGAGAGGCGGAGAGCGCGGCAGCGGAGCGCACCGGCACACGGCGGCCCGCGAGGGACAAACCTCCTCCGTTCGCACTGCACGGCGGGGCGGGCCCTCGTTGAGGCAGGGTCCCGGGTTCGAGTCCCCGCCCTGGCGGAACCGTGGGAAGGGGCGGGAACCCGTGGTGGCCGCAGGAAGTTCCAGTGTCACAGGGTACCCTGGGTTCGAAGGCACCCATAAGGATCATCACATCAAGCTCCCGGTCCTGTACAGGACGTGCTCAAGTGTCACATCACGTGCCTGAGAGCATTGTCCAAATGCTTCTTGAGCTCTGTCAGGCTCTGCTGTGCCCCTCCCCTGGGGAGCTGTTCCAGTGCCCAATCACCTTCTGGGTGAGTTACCTGTTCCTGTTACCCAACCCAAACCTCCCTTGAAAAATTTCAGGCTGTTCCTCCAGAATAGTCATGAGAGAAAAGAGATCAGTGTCTGCCCCTCTTTTACCCCTCATGAGGAAGCTGTAACTGTGATGAGGGCTCCCCTCGGTCTCCTCCAAGCTAAACAGACCAGGGAAGCTCAGCCGCTCCTCATACAGCTTCCCTGCAAGACCCTTCACCATCATTGCCCTCCTTGGGCCACTTTCCAACAGCTTCATGTCCTTCTTACACTGCAGCACCCAAAACTGCGCACGGGATTCAAGGTGAGGCAGCACCAGCGCAGAGCTGAGCAGGAAGTTATTCCCTCCTGGTACCAGAAGAGTTATCCCAGCATAAATGATCTAGGGGAACTGGAGGAGAAGCCTGGACAGAGGAGGCACTACCATGACAATGCCCTTCTGTTTGGGAGGGAAATGGTGGCTAGAGGAGCAGCTCCTGTGAAAGGGATCAGAGCATCATGGTGTGCCCAAAGGCCACAAAAGTGAGGAAAACACAGCTGGTGAATGAGTTCCTGGGAATAAAAAGTAGAGATTTAAGCTTAGCTTCTCAGAAAGGGAACTCACGAGGAAGTGTTGGAACAGGCTGTCCAAAGATAGGGGAGCATCTCAGACACTGAAAATGTCCTATGTCAAGAGAGAGAAAGCACCTGTCCATCCTACTTTGAGATGGGGGTATTTGGCTTAGAAAGACCTAAGTCCTTATTTTACAGCTGTCTCTATCCCTGGGGAAGTTTTCCCCATTTGCAGTTTAACCTTGTTATCTACCTTCTATCCACTCTGGGCACAACAAAGACTTGGACACGCTGGAGACAGGGGCACAGGTTGCCCAGAGAAGCTGTGGATGCCCCATCCCTGGCAGGGTTCAAGGCCAGGTTTGCCAGGGCCCTGAACAACCTGATCTAATGGCAGGTGTCGCTCTCCACTGCAGGGGGTTTGAGCTAGATGATCTCCAAGGTCCTTTCCAATCCAAACCACTCTATGATTTTATGGCATGGAATGCATTTTATTATCTTCCTCTCTTGTTTACTTCATCCTTTTACTGAGATATAGCCCTTTGATTTGCCTCCTCTCATACTAAATAACTTCAGTTTGTTCAATTCTGTCTCATAGGTCTATTTTCTGGACCTCTGGCTTATGTCCATTGCTCTCTGAATTCCCCCCAGGAGAAGTTTACATCCTCTTTGAAGCTTGGTTGTTCAACATTGAAGGTTATACTCCATTTGAGTCTGTACCAGCAGCAAGCAGAGGGTTTTTCTGGTACAATATGCAAGAAATTGCTCATCTAGCTCACAAAAAAATGATCTCAGTATGAGAGTCTGCCTTTCTAATTATAGGCAATCATCTAGGTAACCAAGGTGGACAGCATTTTTATATGTATCTGAAGCAATAATAGCTAACACTGAACTATTATATTGACTAGGGTTAGTAACATTTAAAATTAATCACATTTTTAAATTGCTTTTGTTTTTACATTGGAACTGTGTTTGTCTGCAGAACTCAGCTGGGAGGGTGGATAGGTCATAGGTCTTATGTTGTTAGTCAACTTCCACTGAAAATTCAGTTTTCTTTAAGACAACCTTACATAGACCTACTAGAGGCTCCTCAAATGCTAATAAAATGGAAGTGGGTGCATCCCAACAGTAGTAAGACCAGCCTCATTTTCTGGGACTGTGTCACCCCCAAATTTTGTAGGTCTAAGACCCTTTTGTTTTGTTCACCTGGAAAAAGCGTGGATCTACACAGACAAACACCATTGCTTTCCAGTCTGCTTTGGATCCTGCTCATAAGATCATAGAACAGTTTGGGTTGAAAGGAACCTTAAAAACCATCTAGTTCCAAACCCCCTGCTCTGGGCAGGGACACTTTCCACTAGACCAGGTTGCTCAGGATTCCGTCCAACCAGGCCTTGAACACTTCTAGGTATAAGGCATCCACAATTTCTCTGGATGATTTATTCCAATGTTTCACTACCCTCATTTGGAAACATTTCTTTCTGATGTCCAATCTAAACTACCCTCTTTAAAACCATAGCACCTTGTCCTTTCACTACAGGCCCTGAATTAAAAGTGTCTCTCTTTCTTTCTTGTGAGCCCCTTTAATGTACTGAAAGGCCACAAAAAGATCTCCCTGGGGCTTCTGTTTCTCCAGGCTGAACACACGCAAATCTCTCAGCCTGTCTTCATAGGAGAGGTGCTCCAGCCCTCTGACCATTTTAGTTTCCTTCCTCTGGACCTTATCTGATGGGTTGGTGCCTGCCTTGTGCTGGGAACCCCAGGGCTGGATGCAGTACTCCAGGAGGGATCTCAAATGTTTCCCCCGGATAAAAAATGAATTAACAACAAAGTTGTCCCTCTGCCACTGCTCCCAGCTCAGTCTGTATACTCAAATCACATGCACCACTACGTTTCAAAAGAAAAAAGCATTGCAATGGATGTCTCTAACAGGGGTGACATTTGCAGCAAAGCATTGTCGAGGGGGTTCAGATGGGCCTGTGCTCCCCCAGATGGATGGAGAGGAGCTCCACTTGCAAAGAGCCCAGTAGCAGGTGACAGGAGCAGGGATGGCCACCCCAGTACTCCTTAGAGAGGGAATCCATGAGGAGTCATCACTCATATTCCAAGTGTAAATGACAATAGCAAAAACCTCTGACAATTGGGGTGGCTCAGCTGGCAGCCCAGAGGGGAAGGCTGCCAGGCAGAGATCTCTCCTGGCTTCCTCCAGGCAGCCTTTCCATAGCTGTTTCCATGGAAACTGAATTTAAAGGGACAACAAGCAGGAAAAAGAGTGCATTTTCATTAATTCCTCATTTAAACTCTCAACCTTGTGTTTGCCAGGGACACATTTAGTGCCATGGAGGAGGACCTAGGGGCCAGCTGTTGAGCTGCAGAGCTGTGTGTTAGTCACCCATTTTCTTCTTGCTTGCATGGAAACAGATGTGTCTGAGAAGAGGGATGGCCAAATTCAGACTTGCACAGCCTTTCATTCTTTATTTTCCCCTTGTCCAGTTAAGTGAGATGAAGAGTTGGCAGTGTCATCAGCAGCCACACAGAATTTCTCTTCATCCATTTTAGGAGCAGGCTAATTGATGCAGCCTGGTGGTGCTCGGTGAAAACCAGCGCAGCAGAAGATGCAAAGGGCCTGATGCTGCCCTGTTGAAGCTGATGGGAGTTTTCCATTTAGGAACCCATGTGGTTTCCTCAAAGCCCAGCAAGAACTAGGGAAGATGTGCTCCTGGGAGCTGGTGGTGCCACAAGACATCAGTGATGGACACCATCAGAGAGGTTTCCACTTGCTGGAGGAGCTGAGTGGTGCCCACATCTGGATGCTTCCAGAGTTCAGCACTGTACACCAGCACTGTGCTGGGCCTCCATGGGGTCAAAATATTTGGGTCTGGAGCCAGAGCTGAGACCTGCTGCGAGGCACAGAGGGAATCTCCTGTAGGACCTGATTTTGGTTTGGGAGTATTGAGCCAGGAAACTATTCCACCAACAGCTGATGCTCTAACTTCACTCATTCCTGCCTACTGATCTCCTCATCAACAAATAAAGGTGAGCAGGGAACTCATGCTGGAAGAGGAAAGCTACTGGAGGGAGATTGTTACAACATTGCTTGTCCCACTCTGTAACAAGTAGGACACAGCATCGCACAGCTCTGCCCACCAGCAAGGATCTCTCCTGTATTCCAAATACCTGGATTTTCAGTCAGCAAAGACCTCATGGACTTATGAGGGTGCAAGAAATACTCAAACTTATATCTCAAAACTACCACTATTGGTTGAACTGCTTGAGTAAGAGGAAGGCAAACTTTTGCCATCTTCAACTGTAATGCATCATTCTCTTGTTTGTGGCACAGTTGGTCTGTGTAAGCTGGAAAAAAGAAATCTGGAAATTTTTCCATCCATCTGGAAAAAAGAAATAATCTGCAAAGATGAAAAGAACATCTGGGCAGATCATGATTGTTTATTTTTGAATAAGAGAAAAGAAATTCTGTGTAACTTACTCTAAAACAGGGCACGGCCCATCAAGCCGCATATCTATTTCCTGAGGCAGCAAAGAATTCTCAGTGTGTCTTTTTAAGACAAAAATATATGTTGGAGCTTTTGTGTTTTCAAACTGCTTTTGAGCAACATGTTAATAACAGACTTGTTTACTCCAAGCTGTTCTGTGGCAGAGAGTTGGAAAACATCAAGCACAGGGCTGAGCTCCTATTTCATTACAATCCTAGGCAGTATGAAATCTTCAACATGGAACTTCTGCTGCAAAACACAACACAAAAAGGCAGTTCTGAACAGAGGGCAGTATTCATTTATTTATTTATAATTTTTAATTCTTTCTGTATATTTACAGCCACACATTTTTATCTATGCTATGTATTAGAGAACACTTAGTTTTCACACTAATGGCACTGCACATCTGCCTGCAGTTCCAACCCATACCATGTCCTCCATCATATTGACAGTGTGCAGTAAATTTGACTGCAGGCAGCTTGTATCTAGCTTGTTAGGATTTTCACCATATCAAGGAAGGAGTGGGAGTGGGGGAAGAGAGAAAATTGAAAGGAGCAACTGCAAATTACTTTTTTTCAAAGGAAGAAAACCCTTGTCAGAGAATTTCAGGTACTAGGTTTGAACCTAATTTTAAATAA